TCGCCGGGAAATGCAAATTTTTATTTCATTCCGATGACCTTTGCTTTGTACAACGTAATATTCCTTCGCCGGAGTAATAAATTAAATTATGCTTCTCTCTCTTTCTCTCTCTCGATAATGTATCGTTGTGAAATGCTGTAAATTTAATCACGGATCACGACTTCAATTAAATCCGTGGAAATAGAATCTCCTGCAGGCTTCTCAGGCATATTCGCTGTAAAAAATCGAATCGTTGTATCCCGAGCACCTTGGCGAGAAACTCATTTATTTCCGAAAACGAAAACGATATCGCGTTCAGGTGGCGTCTCTTTAACCGAGATAAAATTCAGATGGAGGATATCATACGGCGCGGGTCCCAAAAAGCGGCGTAATCGCATTGGTTTCATCTACCCAGTGATTGCATCACTGAAACGAAGTGGGACAAAAGTTTTCTTCCTCTCCCTCCTCTTTCCTCTTCTTTTTCTTCGAGGAGATCTCCTTTATTTGCGCGTAGGTGGGAACTGCGGCAGGAAAGGAATGCAAAAGGACGTAACTACCGGGGAAGAATCCAAGGTAAATCTCGCGCGAACCGTCCCCCTCACGCGCGCCCTCCGTTCCAACGTGACTTCGCGAAGCGTATAGAATCCTCATTTCATTTGCGACAAGAATTTCGACGGGGCAATAATCGGGGATCAGCGGACGCTATCGACGCTCCGCGTCGTTGGCTCCTCCCGATCTTAATAAAGCTCTCCTAAGATTTAGCGACTTCATTGGAATTGTTATAATCGCTTTCGCCTGAGGAAAGGACGGGCGAACGAGATTGTTTTATCGCCATAACTTTCGCCGCCACTCTCCCGTCACTTCGTTTTCGAAGTCCTGAATGGGTCCTGTCGAAAACGTCGCGAGGTACATTGAAACCAGGGGGGATACGTTCAATTGGAAAATATCGCTGGGAAACGTGGGATCTATACTCACGTAAAATGAAACGTGAAATCTTGGATGTATCCAACCGAAAAATCCGAGGAGAACTCCTTGAGGTGTAACCGCGTAGATTGAAACATAAAATCCCGGATGTATTCAAGTGAAAAAAAAGGTGGAAAAAAAAGAAAGAGATTTTCTTTCGCAAAGCAAAGATTCCATGCGCTGCGCTCGCGCTTGCTACACAATTTACGACGCTGTTCGTCGTTTTCCTTGATTTCCCCGATTCGAAGGCCGGAACGATCGAAACAAGCTCGCCTCGGAGGTCAGCGCGCGCGCGAGAGCACGAGAGAGAGAATTAGATTCTGGGACTTTCCGTAAAATCAAGTGTCGCATGTCCCTCGCGGCTGAATAGGACTTGGCTGCGACTAGCAACGGCCGACCGACCGATCTGGTAAGACAGCCCGAACAAATACCGGCGTACTTGTAAAAGCAGACCGTACACCCCTTGGAAAGAGAGACAGAGAGAGAGAGAGAGAGAGAGAGCGCTTCCGGCGAAGTCGACACTCCGTCACCTCGTAACCTCCTTCTCTTTGTGCTTTCAAGGCAAGAATCCGTTTTCGCCTCGTAGTCACCTTACGAGTCTATCTCGCGCGCGCGGAGACTCTTTTCTCCCGTCGTGGATTTATTACCTTCATTCGCGAACTTTTTGAAACTTTCGCACTCCCTGGCGCGGCGCGTCTTTAGGTGTCTATTTCTCCCGGAGGACCACTTATACACTTCCCGCGAGTACGATCAGGTTAAATTATCCAGTTTCCTTCCCCCTCCCCCTTCCCGTTAAGGAGGTCGCGAGATTTCGTGTTACTTAAACGCGAAACGCGATTCGGCTTTGATCCGCGACCGATTAATTCCACGACGTGCGATCGGATTGCAGGCGCATTCTTCTCGCCGACAACAGTCTAGGAAGCCGTGTCGCATTAAACGGAGTATTTCACGCTGATCCCCGGTTTATCCCTGGTTTGACATAAAGGCACGCGTATACGACGCGGGCGGATGCATTATTCATACAAGAATACCTTCGCCGACAACAAGCAAGAAAACGCAAGCGCTCCGTGATCCTTTTATCTCCCGGCGTTTCGCACCCATAAAATCAGCGTATAATCCCGATTATATGTCCTCATATATCGTGCCGATATTACCGATTATGCGGACAGCGTATCTATCAATCGTCTCATTTTTCGAGAATATCTCGCGTGTATGTAGCTTTCCGATAAAAAGAAGAAATATTCACATCCCGAGATATTAATTTCTCTCTGTTTAATTGAACGTTACGCAAGAGATTAATTCCGTGCTAATTCAACGGGGCTGGTTGATTTCATAATTTTTAAAAATTTTGATAATGTTATCACTTATTTGTTTCTATATGTTTTAAGAGTAAAAAGCTAATTTAAAAAAATTTATTCCAATGTTATAATAACACAATTTGCAAAGTTTTTTCAATTTTAAAAACATAGATTTTGGTATTGAAGCACTGAGAAACATGTTTTGGTTGCACCAACAAGAAGTACATGCAAAATGCATTCTGATCATACCAATCAGAATTACTTTTATTATAATTGAATTTTTGATTATCTAGTTGCAATTTAAAAAATTCAAATATGGTTTGTAGAGATTTTGTTCGGAGAATATTCTTTGAAATGAAGTCTTGGAAACCAACTGTTTAATAATTCCCACAAAGTCGCGAGACCTTCTCCATGTGTCGCACCGAAAAAAGTTCCACTTAGCTTATTGGTAAAAACATCTGGTTGCATTAATTGGAAATTCAATAGATTCAATTAGATTAGATTATTTGAATTAGAATATCTGCTAGATTTAACTACAAGTGTGTCCGAGTTTGTACCTTTGTTTGTACCTTTTTTTTAATTTACTAGATTTCTAATTAATGCAAACAGATATTTTTTTCCAGCAAGCTGAACTTTTCGGTATATTACACAGGGAAGGGGATGGTGTGGGTGGAATAATTAAACAGTCGGTTTCCAAGACTTCCCTTCAAAGAATGTTCTCTAAAAATCTCACTGCACAAGCCAAGTTTGAATTTTTTAAACGCAATATCAACGGCATCTCATTTACTTTATTAGTGTAAATGACATTCAAGAAAATTCTGCGTTATTGGAAGAAAGATTCAATAATGCAAACTGATTAGTTTTCAATACGAGAAAGAAGCATCGTTTCATGCAGTCCAAATAGGATGCTGCGAAACGTTAGACTTTAAGAAAAATTATTCCATACAAGTTACTTCTTAGCTAAATAGTCTGATCGAACTTTGCGGTTTGGTAAACAACTCGGCATTAATGAGATGACACAGGAAGAGAGACAGCTGCTGCTGGCACGGTTGATACTCTTGTGTGCTGAAGGCCCTTTCAATTTTTAAAACGTGGATAAATAAATGGTGACATTAAAAATTTTTTAAAATTTTTTAAAATTATAAAGCAACCAATTAAGTTAAATCTGATTGAAATGGCATGGAATGGCCGAAGGTACACGACGAAAATTTAAAAAAAATGAAATAAATCAGGGAATTCTCCGCCTCATCACAATTTTTTTTCCAGCAATAATCGAAATTCCTTACAACGGTCGCAGAGCAACTTCGCTGCTTTCGTTTGAAGCAACGAAAATATGTATGCAATTTCTACTCGAGCCATTCATCGAGATGTTAGCTCGCGATATATACATGTAAACGATGTATACATATAAACATGTATATAAACGCATATTTTATGCCATATCTACGATATTGCATAGGGGCGTAACAGGCGCAGATCTTCTCGAGTCTGCATCCCCTACCACATATCTTTGCTTTAAATAATCCCATTATACATACGCGTACCCGCGGGTATTATGGGGTCGATGTCGTCGTGCTCTATACATTTTTCACATTCATGGTAAACGTGTCGGAAATTTCGATGAGGGGACGAGTACGGTGGGGTCGGAATTTATTTTATTACAGAAAGCTCGAGGATTGCACTCTCACCGTGAGGAATCATTGAGCTTAAGGTCTCAGGTTTCCCGATCCCTATTTCATGATTCCGGGTGAATCAAATTTCTCAGTATAAATCAGATCTGCTTATTTATTTAGCTTTATTACTTATTTATTATTCGCGAGCTGACCATCTCGACCCGGGCATCTCGAAGAACTTGTGCAATTTATATGTGATAAGTAACAAGATCTCGTGTTATACATTTGGCGTTACCGCAATAAAATAGACAAAGAAATATTAATAATAAAAAAGTCAAGAACATAATAATCATAACTTTAAAAACAACCGAGACATAATCAGGAAGATTTATTTCCTGATTATCTGCATATTTCTCGAAATGTTCAGAATTTGAGGAACTTATTATGTGCCGGGCAGCCTGTCCCGCCAGCAGGCCGCAGCTAATTTGAAAGATTATGCGAATATCTTAAGCCGATGATGCTGATATTTTCGTCAGAGAAGCGAGAGAGAGAGAGAGAGAGAGAGAGAGAGGGGAGAGAGCTCGCATCCTAAACTCTCAAAAAGTAAAAGTATAAGATTAAGGGATACGTTTGACAGTCGTAACAAATTAAACCACTCCAGTCACTTAACCGTAAAACATCCGTGCGCGTACAAGCAAGAAAACTTATTAATATGATGCATAAAATATTCATGGAGCGCTCAAGTATTCATGGCGCATGTCGCGATCATTAGAAACTTTTGCGTTTCACAAGCAGCGCGTCGTATCCTATAAAGAGCCGTCGGGGTGTAGTTTGTAAATTGGCTGTCGCCTTCGCGTTAGTCTCTAAAGAAACCGGCTCTATCCGGGCTCGTTTAAGAACGCCGTGAGCAAATCCTCTCGCTTCCGAAGAACAAAGTTGACTGAGAACGGCCCGCGGTAATCCGCCCGAAAAGTGCCGCGGCGAGAAAATATGCCACGTTCGACAGTTTGTGCGCCAATTCGCCCCGCTACGCGAAAAATGCCTTTATTATCAGACGATCGCGTGGATCTTCGATCTCTTCAGGAATCTCGAAGGACGTCCAGGATTCGTAGATTCAAATGAAACAAGCCCGTCTAGTTTCACTTACCCGAAAGGCGTCTCGTAACTCCTGCTCCTCCTGATCCTGATCCGTGGGCGCCGCCGTGCTCGCGCCGCCGATGTTGCTGACGATCTCGACGAATTCCTCGAAGCTGACGTTTCCGTCACCTGGGGGAGGGGAAAAATCGTAAAGGACGTGAACGAATAACGCTGTCGGATAAATTGAAACGCGACGAGGATCTAGCGCGCACGCGAGATTTATTTCGAAGGGATTTGAGGATAACGCGATTAAATTTTCGGAGGCTGTAATGAAACTGAACGGCTTATCTTATCTCGTAATTGTTTTTTACGTGGAAACTCTCTCTTCAAGACGAACGAGATAATATCGCAGTCGTGTACAATAAATGGCAATAATAAATCCGACAATCTTTTTAATTAAATGCGATTTAATTGCGCGTGTAGAATAGAGAAGGACCTGATTGCAGAAAGCGGGAATTCTCTTCTCGTCATTTAAATGCAGGGCCAACACTCTTGAACTCTCCAGAGGGGCCTGGAAAGGACGGCCTTCTGATTACAGAAATTAATTCATTCTTAATCTAGACATTGAGTCTTTCCTTTAACTTCTCTCAGAGTTCTTTCTTCAGCAAACCAAGGAGTTCAATAAGAGATCTGGTTGACCGTTTTGTAGTTGCTCATTGGGAGGGAAAGGGGTGGGTCGCGCTGATATTAAATACAGCCGTGCAGAGGAAGAGGGGGAGGGGAAAGAGAGAGTGCGCTATGCGCCCGTCGGGTAATCCACGTCGATCTGAACGGCGAGAAATCTTCGCCGCATTCCGCGTAAAAGCGGTGCGCCGCGACGTAAATGCTTTCCAGCCTCCTAAGCGGTCGTCGGAACCCCTTTATCGCGCTATACGGCGTCACAATAAGAGGGAAGTACACGGCAATATTCGCACAAAGGCGTAAGAGCACGGGCGAGGGTGGGCGCGGGTGGGAGCAAACGAACTTTACACCCCGCGATTCCCCCGGGAGTAAATGTCCCCGCATGCAGAGTTTCGCCGCGTGGAAAAAAAAAATACCCGCCGCGCGCGCGGCATCCTTCTCGTCAACTTCTAAGGGAGTTTTTAGCCGAGCTCTGATTCTCAGCTGCCGCGCTCCGCTTCGTGCCTACGCTTAATTACGATTTCTCGCGCGCGCAGCACTTTCCCCATTAATTCATGGGCTCGCCCTTTTTGTCCCCCCCCCCCCCTAAAAAAGGGCCGTCGTAATTCTTTCATTTACAATGTCGGCTTAATGAATATTAAAACTGCCGCCTAATCTTATGCCCTTAAGAACAATTTAATGTACCAACATTAACGATGTCGAAACAATGGAACAGGAATTGTACGAATAAAAACGAAACAAATGTTCTCTTTGGCAGAGAGAAGTAATTTGCTTTGGGCAATGCCTGATTACGAATCTGGGAAGTTTACGAGATATAAGAATCTCTTTTCAGTGTTTACAGTTAATTTTCCATCTTCGCGCTACTTTACAATATTTTGCAAAATTTGTTTTCATTTTAATTATTTTTGTGCGATTAAGTAAACCTTCAGTCTGGATTAAGAGCACTTTTCTTTCTATACATTATGCAGATATTTCGATAAATTCTAGATCTCGATAAATTGCACTACATATATTGTCATATAACTATTATTCAGGTTAGACATCAAATGAGTTCTCTAGCCGCAACCGCACCTATAATATTGTGTGCATTTGGTATTTCGTCACTATGCATATATTTAGTTTTTAAATTACTGTTAACCAACGCATTCAATAAAGCTGTTATTATTACTATTATTATTAAAGTAGGAAACACAGTAAAAGCACACTCTATAGTTCGTGAATGCGAGTGAATCTCGCGTTTTAGGTTTCTACCTCGTGCAGATATATCCACACAAGGGCAGGTGTTTCATTTTCGAGTGGTCTGAAAAATCTCTATATAATCTGTGGTACATTTTATTTTATTCATACTTTTCCAAAGCATTTTATATTACTTTCGTTTTTACATGCATTTACTTAAATAAACCCGAACAAAAGCGCGTTTGCGTTGCGTGTACGTGTGCTTTTGCTCCATTTCACCCGACGTTCCGCTACGTTAACGGCGGGAGCGGGACAAAAATTTCGCGAGCTCGTAAACAAGTAATCGAGAGGCGACATGTATCGATCGCTCGGCGGAGGAGGATCGAGTTCGGATCAGGTTGACGTCCGGTAAATATCTGAAGGAAATAAATCACGATCTCCAATGCAAAACACACATTCACCGGAGAGGTTGGGACGTGCATCGAGGATCCGTTCGAAACGATTTAAACGCTGGGCGCCGGCTTGATTTGCATAATTCGACCACCGCCTAAATAAACGCGGTGTTGTTTCGCGCGACGTACACCGTTTACAATCTATTTCGCATCCGTCAGCCATCCCCCAAAACGAGCTAATTCTCACGCGCAGCTGCAGACAGATCCGCGCCGGCGGCGTGGCGATGAAGTCACGTATTATACAACACGTAATTACAATTCTACGTGCACGGTGTCTAACTGGGAGAAAGATCGGAAATTTAGACGTGGCGACAACGACAATGCTAAAAGGAAGGAAAAAAAAAGATTGTTGTCATATCTTACATTAGCATATAATTTTGACAAATTATAATGCTTTTTAAAAGAAGGCAGACAGGACTTTTATTTCACCGGAATTTCTCTTATTCCTCCGAGTTAATGGCATTGATATAAATGGCACCTTCCCTTAATTCAACTAAAATTTTTATACGAGATGATGTAGGATCTGCAGTTAATCCATTAATGTCCTGCAGAAAGAAAAAAAAACGGTGCCCCCGTAATGGTACGTACTATTTTCGGAGAACAGTGAACTTTAATAAGTTAACGTTATTTTATCATTTTGTCACGCGTCATTTTTTTTTTGTCACGTCGCCGTCCGAAACGCTTTAATTCCTGTCTGAAATTTAATTTCAAAATTTTCTCTCGCCACAAGGCAAACAAAGATTCGAGGAAGGTATCCGACGTCGAAGCGCACAAACACACAAAGACACAAATTTTAGATTGTGCGCCTACAATAATATTGTAAGTGTGTCTCAGTCCACGTTGAAGATCCTCAGCGTACTCTTGCGTCTATCTTCCGCTCTGAATTTCTGCACCAGAGTTCCGCGAAGTTACCCGCGCTACCAAGACGCAATCCTGCGTTACGGTCGATAAGTTCTTATCAAGCTTCTCCGACGTGTACAATAATGTTTGATTCGCAGGGAAATATAAGGTGCAGCGTACAAGAGACGAAATTTCCATTCTACGAAGAGTCGCGTGGGCGAACTTTATTCCATTACACAGTGGCATTCACTGGCCGCTTTCAAATTTACAATAACCGCAATAAAAGAATCTCTCAGGTGAGTGAATACCCTTTTCCCTTTTGCTTTTCGTCCGCAAGTCTGTCGCGCATGATCCGACTTTTGTCAATTCCAGATGCAGATTTCCACGCGAGATCGTTCCGGAACAAGAATTACCCATCAATCTCCTTGTACATTGAATTTGTTATTTATTGACATGTTTCTGCCGGGCGGGCACTACTAACTTTTCAAATCTTTCTTACATCTCCGCGCATGATTCTGATCTGACAATTGGAGAACGCGCCCTCGTTTTGCTCGTATTCTCCCGTGCGCGCCGTAAAATGCGGCGGCGTACGGGAAATGTGTCGGAAGCGAAGAAAATATTCGCGTGCATCGGACAGCCTTTCTCGCGACGAAATCCCCCGCCGATAAAGTTTACAATCGGAAGCGATCGCGCGACTCGGCGCGCCTTTTATCGAGGCCGTCAAGAAACGGGGAAGCATGCCGGTACGCGCGTTCTTAAAATCCGCGAGTTCTCATTTGCAGCCCATCCTTCGGGACTTCCGGCTGCGGCCTACGTCGTAGACTAAGCGCCAGCCTAAGCGGATTTTAGCTGGATAACCGCCGGTGTAAACGGGATTTAGGCGGCAATAATGCCGTGGAGGGGGGGGGGGCGAGAGAAGAGAGAGAGAGAGAGAGGACACCCTCGAATGCAGTGCCTTGGGGGATTCCACGGCTCGCATATACGTACACATACACACACATACGCACACGTGTTGACTTTTGCAGCAACTTCCCATTGCAGCCAGCATCCCGTATATGCAACGACACGCACGCAGACCTGCGCGTCTGCCTGCGAATAAATGCCGGTGTACGCGCGCGTGTGAGTATTCTCGCACGGACGGCTAAGCGTGTAAACGCAGGCTACGTGATAACGATACGTGCCCATTCCCGCGAAGAAATGAGAACATAAAGTGTGTTACAACGTCGGTAAGCGTAAAGTATAACGTTATGCCGCGCTTGCAAATTCGCCGGCAAGAACATCCAGCCGAACCCGAAGTATGTATCCGCGTTTGGATGCCTCAACGACAGTTTACGATGTGTGTCGAATCACCTGACTGTTTCGCGTACGTGACTATTTGGCTTTCCCATCTTTTACCGCTTCCTACTTGTTGTTTTATTTATGCTAAGTAAGGTGACATCTTCATTTGCGTAACAAATGCAGGTTCCTAGAAAACACTATGACGTCCTCCTGAAGGTGTTTAAGAAAAATTTAAATTTAAATTTAAATTTAATAAAAATTAAAAATTTTAATGTAATTATTGTTAATAAGTAAATGTGATCTATGTATGTGTGTACGTATATATTTATGCATCACTGATAATGTAGGATAATTTATAACTTTTTAAAGAACAAACCTAAACTAATGCTATAAAATACCTACTTATCTTGTAGATAACTCTCTTTATATATATTCCTATTTTCTAACTAAAAAAATGCTGAGAATGACAATTTTGAGAATTTTAAGTTAGAGATTTCAGTACAAACATTTAAATTTGCAAAAATCAATAAAATATTTAAAAAACAAGCAAAAAATAGCACTAACTAAAATTTCAAGAATTGATTACATTTTCGAGAATTGGAGGTTTGAAATCGCAAAAATCAAAAGTTTCAAAAATCGAAAAAAGTATCAAAAGAATATAATCAATAAAAAGATCGCACTAATTAAAATTACAGATTTTTCTACATTTCCGAGACAAGAATTGATCACATTTCCGAGAATTTTCCATGAATTTTTAAATTAAATTATTGACATATCAATTTATCAAATAATTCCAGTTTCTGTCTTGTGTTCTTGTTAACGCATTTCTGAAGATTTTCACTTTGATTATGTCGTTGTAACATGTTGAATAATAAAAGATGTCAAAATCAGATATCTCTCGCAATCCGATTTTAACTCATGGCAAACATTTTACAGATAGATTGGCATAAACAATGTAAAAGTACAATCTTTGAGACATCTTTTAAATATTGCGCATTGTTCTGAATTCGTCTTCAGCAAAAATCATAAACTGCGCTAAAATTCTCGGTCTATATAACAACGTTTAAAAAATCAACATCCGAATCAACACATCTTCAAGGGAGCAATTTTAATTACGCCACTTTACTCGCGCAACTTTATCTTGCAAATTTCGCTATTAAAGCAACGTCTTGCTACGGGAAAGTTCGAAAGATACTGTAATTAGATCCTCTCGGGCGTTACGTTAGTAACGTGTATTTTAAACTGTCAGAAGCTAAGACTATGATTATCTGGAACAAGAGTAGGCACACGATTTAATCGGGAGAGATTACTCTGTCCGCGCACAGATTCTCGCGTAGAATTAATCAATATGCGATTACGATCATCGATCTGTCCTACATAATTCCCCGGTCCCCCATTTCCAGGTAACCCATGAACCAGGGTCGCGTGCGCGCGCGCGTGTTTGTGTCTGTGCAGTATGAGTGAGCGTTCTGTGTGTACGTGTGTGAGGGATGCCGCTGTCGAACGTGACAGTCACAGGCGCAGCTACGTACGTAGCGAGCACACAGCGGACACGCCGACCCGCTGTGTACAGCCTCGGGGGCATTTTCTGATAGCGCGGATTCGTCGCGTGTATTATACCATGTATTACATGCCCCACGTACGTACGTATGCGCGGGCATACAAATTGACTGCGTGTTACGATACGGACCGACCGGGATTCCCGATGAAATTCCATAGGCGTAACTCGATCAGAGGGAGGGACGATTGTCCGGAGGGATCGTGCCTCTCGCTCTCGCGCGTCCCGCTGCCTCTCGGAGGAGTCCCGTCAGGAGAAGGGCAGGATCAATCGCGCGACCCGATAAGAAGCCCCGCGGTGTTGGCATATTACGAATGTCACGGTCGCATAGTAGCCCCTCCCCCCTCCCCGCGCCCGTCCCCCGTCCGGCATAGTAACCACCGAAAATACTCGCGTGTTCGCGATTTTTTCTCGCATCGTAGACGTTTCGCAAAAAGCGTCGATTGGCTTCGTTTCGTGTTCCCGGAAACGGCCCATCCGGATTCGCATCTATCGTTTTTTCTTGCTTTTTCCCCTTCCCCGCGTTCCTGCCCTTCCGCGTTCTCTTTTTTTTCCCCCCCGTCGATCCGTTCAGTCGTTAAAATTCTCATTAAACCTGCGGATGTGCAGCGATCGCGTTCCACGTTTTAAACGGGCGGGCGGTGGCTGCATCTCTCTCGTCTGTCCTAACAGAGGCACGAGTTACGTAACGAGCTGCGTATCTCGCAACGGAAATAAATCCCAACAACTTTCTTGTAAAAAAAAAAAATTATAATAAAGAAAAAGAATGACAATATTTCATCGCGCAACTTTTCGCCTCGACAGCTCGGCAAGATTAAATTAAGCCGATCGACAGCCCGCCGTTCGCCGATGAAGAATAATAAACACCGTTACGTCAATGCCGTTCCTTCAGGACTATCCATCTCGTCTTCTCTTTGAGCTCTTCCCTCGCGTCCCCGGGGTCTCGCTCACGATTCCCGACTGTCACGGTGGATTTGTAGGTCATTTCGTTTCGTTTGTCAAGTGTTCGCGTAGCGCCGGCACGGAAACCACTTGCCGAGACGAGAATTTAATTCTGCCGCGGACACGCGCTCGAGGATATGAATCGCGCAAACTGCTGACTCTCTCTCTCTCTCTCTCTCTTTCTCTCTTTCGCGTATGAAGGACTCGTATGGTCGGACGCGGTTTTCCTCGTCTTTTGTTCTCCTCGATTTCAAATATCGCCGCGGTACGGAAAACAAGCGCTAAATTGTTAACAGCCGATATCCCGAGCCCGATAACGCATCCGGGAATCGAGCGATCTTCAATTCCGTCACGTTACCCTCGTCTTTCTGAGACACGCAAAATGAGAGACGGAAATAGAGAGAAAGAGAAAGAGGACAGAGAGAGAGAGGGAGGATCTGGGGAGGGCAGGAGGAAAAAAGCGAAGCGGCAAAACAACAATATACGGGGTAATCTAGATTGCGATACGTCGAGAGACCGATGGAAACGAAGGCGAAAACCGGACGGTATTTGCGGAACGTTATTACTTTCCGCCGGATCGAGGAGGATCCATCGCGCCAGATCGATCGATGCCGGCGATATATCGTTTCGATTCTGTAACGATGATACATACTCACGGAGAATTAAATCGCGAAATAAAAGCGAATAGGAAGATGGACGCGCGCGCGCGGAAAGCCGGGCCGGATGGTTGTAAACGCGCTGAAACCTGATCTACACACACGTACGCGAAACATTTTCAAAATAGCGATTTTCTGACAATGGGAAACGGAGGGAAACGTAACTCAGGTAGCGTCAGTCGGTTGCAATTGCCGAAACTTTCCATCGATTTTGCGGCGAATTAATATCGCGGGGACTGTATTGTAGGAGTTGTGGAAGAAAAAGGTATATGTGAAAGGACGCGAAACGGTTTTCGCGATCGTATCTCTTAATGTCGTGTAAAGATAACGGAATTCGGGAAAGCGATGCGCTCTCGCCCGCTCGAGCGAGACTCCGAATGAAAAGGGAAAAGTATAGCGGGATTGTTCCCTCGACGTGCATAAATATGAAAAAAACGTAAAATTATCTTGAGTTTAGCATGAATGCGGAATTGAATTAATATCGGGTTACACAGTGCTATTATTTTATCGCGAAGTTGATTGCGATACGCGGCTGTTTAATTAATAAAGTTTGAATTCTGAAAACAGGAACTGGCCCTCTTTTTTTCTGGTTCTATTTATTCCCGAAGGTACAAAAATATACATGTGTATTTTTACAAAAAAATCGAGTAATTTAATTAATACGTCGCAATATCCACAATTTTTTTTCAACTAATTCAATTTGTATTTTCAGGGGGAAGGAGGAGAAAAAAAATTTATTTCTCGGATAAGTGCTCGTCGTCCGTATCATCTGCGATATCATCCGAATTGGCTGGTGTACACGTGTCAAGGGACGGCTTTAACTTATTCACCACGAGACGGTATACAACCGTTATAAATCCCTCAAGCGACGTAATAGTTGCGATAACTTCGCTCGCAAACTGCACGCACGTGACGTTATTCATAAAGTGATTCTATTAGAGGGAATCACGCCGAACGAGGAAAGTCTGAGAAGGCGGGGGAGGGGAGTGAGGACGAGTCTGTGTGACATTTCATCTGATCCCGTCGGGTCCGGTGCGATCGACCATCAGGGATAACGCAACTTTGTGCCCGCGCTGTGTCTACGCGGGCCGGGCCGAGCAACTCGACCGAAAGGATCCGTGGAAGTACCTGCGTTTCTCGAACCGCGGGGGCATTTTATGCGGATTTACGCGCTCGCGATAGCACGATAATTTACGGCATATCGCGGCCGCAAATGCGGCGTAGCCGGGCGCGCGTGGGCGAGACCAGTAATGCGCGATCGGGGCGGCATGAATCTTCCGAGAGAGGATCCCGGGAGTCGCTCCCGGCCGGGGGCTCCACCTCGCCGCTCTCCACCTTCTCCCTCCGTCCCCGCCACATGTACGTGCCGGAACTTCTTGAGAAC